AGAAATGTTTGTATTTAGTATTAATATTCATAGTTGACTTCGGATATGCCAGAATGTCTAGCACCTAGGTGTTACTTTTTGTAAATATAATAACAGTTACACACAAAATTTTATTATCAAAGTTATCACTTTTTCAACTAACTTATGCAGACATTTTTGAACAAAATATGAATTTAAAAAATGTCTAAAAGTTCAATTTAAACTAAAATTTTAAAAATATTTATACTAAATGTAACAAAATTTCTAAAAATAATTTTTTTCTATCAATTTTTATTTCATTTTCATTTAAAAGTTATTAGGTGCTATAATATACAATTTAATAATTAATTCCATTTATACTCAAAAACATTGTTATAATTATTATTATAATTTTTAAAATTTTAGTTTAAATTGAAGTTTTAGACATTTTTTAAGTTCGTGTTTTGTACAAAAATGTCTGCATAAGTTAGTTGAAATAGTGATAATTTTCATATATTTTTTGTGTGTAACTGTTATTATATTTACAAAAAGTAACACCTAGGTGCTAGACATTCTGGCATATCCGAAGTCAAATTCATAGTATAATTGATATCTTGATATATTAAATTAAGTATAATTAAACATAATAAAATACTAAACATTATAATCATATAAATAATGAATAATCCATTTTCAATAACTTGTGTGACATCGCATACCAGTGCCAATACATAGTGATTATTGGCTGAACTAGTGATGTACCGATTGCAAAATGCTCAATTGCATTGCTCGGAAATTGCGTGAAATTGCCGCAATTGCAAAAAGCTCGATTGCGAAAATCGCAATTGTAACATAGAAAAATTTATAATTTTTAAAAAATTAACAAAATTTAAATGGCAAAGCAATATGAATAAAAACATAAATTAATTATATAAAATTTAATTATTTTATCATAAAATGTTGCCATCTAAAAACCATGTAAAAATAATAATAAATTAGTAAATTCTTTTAATCTATTGTAAACAAAATTTTTAACGTTGTCAAAGTTAATTTTTATACATTCCCTCATGCGCGCAATTTCAAACAATTTCACGCAATTTTCCGCAATTGCGGCAATCGAAAATTGAATTGCGAAAAATTACCAACACTAGGCTGAACAGATGATTATTAAACGGAGTATTGTTAGCAAACAATTCAATTTCAATGCAATCGCTTTCATAACGTGTTTCCTATYTAATGGTTGTCCGGCGTATTGTTCATCAATAGTCCGATAAATCATTATATAATTTGATTGAAATATTAATTCAAATTCATTGCATATGTCAACCATATTGGGATTGTAATTAATAACCATTGTCTTAATAATGTTAAATATGGCTAAATTAAAATAAATTAACCGTAATATAAATCGTATCATAATTATTAATAATCAAAGTTAAATATCAATTAATAAAAAAAATATGTTAATTTTAATAAAAATAAAATATATGTAAATTTTGAATGAAATTATTAGTAATGTAAACTACTTTAGTTTTTTAATAGTAATTATTTTATAATTGGATTTATTTTGGTGACATATATGCAAATTTATTGTTGATGTTATAAACTAATTTATTATAATATCTAATAAAATAATTATAATTGCTACATTGCGTGATAGTTATATATAATCTAGATTTTTTTAATTGTTTTTAGTTAATACATAAATACTGTAGTAATAGTATCACATATAAATAATTTCCTATTTTTAGTCTATTTTAATTATCAATAAATGGAAATTATTATATTTTCGTATAGAAAATAATAATAATTATAATTTCGATATTAATTATAATATATAAACACATGTAGATGCTTTTATTGTATAATATAATGTATATATATATATATAATTTATAAATCATTTTATTATTTTTTGATTGATTTAACCTGAAATTTTAGTAAAAATTTTGCAAATTTCCAACAAAAAAATTGGCCCAACTTTTTAAAGTTTGGTGTAAAATAAATTACAATTATTATATAAAATAAATTAAAAATTTACATATTTTATATATAAAACAATTAATTATATAACATATAAAACAAATTTGTATTATAAACAATTATAATATCATACACACTATGAATATCATGCAAACAATAATTATTAAAATTTAAAAAAAAACAAATTCAAAATTTTTTTTTTGTATTTATTTTTATATGCAAATAAATATTTTTTTATTTTGATAAAAAATCATATATCAATAATAATACATTTTTAAAGTTTTAAAAATTCATAAAAAACTTGCAAAACAAATTGAAAAAATAAAAAATATATTAAATGATATCCTAGTTTCACAATTCAATTTTGATTATCATTTCATAACCACACCGACAACACCAACACCAACACCAACACCAACACCAACACCAACACCAACACCAACACCAACACCAACACCAACACCAACACCAACACCAACACCAACACCAACACCAACACCAACACCAACACCAACACACCACTAATGAACCGATATTTGTACCGATTTTGCGGTAAAATTGTCAGCTGTCGTATCCAATCGTCTGAAATGCTTTACCTGTTGTCTGTGTTTGGTCTCTACCGAAACCCAATGGACATCGATGTCTACACTGTTGTCCGCTATCTGTGTCATCGATTGGATGTCAATATTTGCGAAAACGACAACATTTTTGGCATTTTTCTAGAAATATGACGATAGAAACCAAACAAACAAAAAAAATCTAGAAATATTTTTTTTAAAAACCAATTAGTTATTGTATATACAGTAATATTATTAGTATATTACAGTATTATTAGATGAAATACAAGCAATAATAATAATAATAAAGTAATTAAAAAAAATAAATTAGTTAAAAATTATACACTCATAATATGAAATTATTGATTTTATTTTCTCACTGGACAGCAAAAGTACTGTACAAATAATATTTAAAAAAAAAGTTTAATACAATTTTCAAACTTTTATGTTTAATGTTTAATGTTTTTTATATATAAAAAAAATACAGTGAGAGTCAATCATATTTTTTGTAAACTATTTATTAAGAAAAACCCATTTATTTTAATCTCCTAATATATATACAGTATATATATATATAATATTTAAAATAATCAATTTATGTGTTCACATATAAATGTTTTTCATATTCATTACAATATAAAAGTTTTGTTAATTTTTAACAAAAAAAAATCTTAAATAGTAATAGTAATAATAATGAAATTCAATTAATAAGGCCTTCAAAATCAATTTTTTAGTCTAACTGTCCACATCATACACAATGTAGTAGTCATCATAGATATTGCAAACCCAGTACTAAAATTTTTATTATAGTTTAGATAATAAAATATTACTAAATTAAAAAAATAAATAAATAACATAATATGTGTTAATAATATTATTGTTAGTAATTTAAAATAAAATCTATTTATTAATTACTATTATACTGTATTTTAAATTATCAAATTATTTGCCCAAAACAACAAACAACAAAAAATGCAACGATTAAAAAGTGTAATATTTAAGGACAGGGATATCGTGGAAGTATTGTTCCGTATATTTAGGACAGTCCTAGCATTTTCCAACTTTATTATCATCGTATCGTCGGCTGTACTAATGTTTACCGGCGAAGATTTAGGCGAACCCGAGCTCATACCCAATCGCAAGATACTGGTCTACGTATGTATCGTATTGCTGGCAATGGCTATCGTTGGACTGGTAGGCGTACTATTGGATTTGCTGGCACTGTTGATAGCCTATGCCCTGTTCTGGTCGATAGTAGTGGTGGTCAAAGTGGTCGAACTACGTACCGATAATTGTCTATCATTTATCATATCGGTACTAATGTTTATCTGTACCGGTATCTATGCCGGCCTACTCAGGCATACCATCAAATCAAACGATAGGATTTTGTTGACCCGAAAGTTTAGCCGAAAAATTGGTATTTAATATATAAAAAAATAATTTATTATTTTTGATAGAAATTTAACAGTTATTTAGTATTTTTCAAAATATTTCTATTTGTTATATTATGTATACTTTTTATTATAAGAATATATATATATACTGTATATCAATATCAATAAAAATTTCATTTATTATCATTAAAATATAATATAAAATACAATATTAATTAATATTAATTAATATATGAATAAATTGTATACAAAAATATGTTTTGCGATTTTTTAATCAACAAAGATTGTAAACTTTTTGTTGTTGTTGTTGTAAACATTAATAATAATCATATAAGTAAACTGATAATAAATAATATATTTTTTTCCATATAAAATCATATAAAATATTTTATATAATATTTACAAAATTATTTAATTAAAAAAAAAAGGTTTATCAACTTATTACTATATATTATATTATCAAGGGTTTAATTATACAAAATTGTTTTATATATGTTATGTTATGTAACAATTATTTATCACTACTAAATAAATATATATTATATATATTTTTTTATATTACACAAAAAAATATAATCCATAACTATTACTAAATATATAATGATAAAATTTAAATGTAAATATTAAAGATAAAAGATTTTTTTTATTAACAAACAAAAATTGTTTATCTAATCCATACCTACAGTATATATTAAATATCAAAAAATAAAAAATAAAATTAAAACAAAAATAACTAAAATGTTTGGCAAATATTATGTCACTAGTAGTAACACACACACTACCGAATAGTATCGGTGCTTAATATATAATATACTGTATATACTGTACTTTTATAAACTATTTGGGCATATTTAGCTGCATCGACTCAATCTACAGTACAGTATAGGCAGCTAAGAGCTCAGGGATGTAACCAAATAATAATAATAAAAAACAAAAAATAAAGGATGACTAAAAATAAAATTATCGATCGACTGGTAGAGTACAGTACTGTCCAATATTATGTCTGCGCTTATATTTTCAATATACATGTATATTATATATATATTTGCCGTATTGTTATATAATAAAGTATATATTGTACTGTACTGTATGTATAATAAAAATGTTTATTACAACTAAATGCGACAAACCTTTTTTTTAATGCACACATTTTGAGAGACCACAAAAACAAACAAAAAATCAAAGCCATAATCATAGCCGCCATCACTACTAAATCTCAGTAAAAAACTAAACCATCATAAACTACCTAAACTATAAACAGATATCAATAATTGATAGGTAGTTCCTTATCACTGCTACTACTACTTGGGTGGGAAAGACATTTCTAATTTCTAATAATAATCATAATAATGATTGACAGCCAACAGCAAAAAGGTATTGTCTTTTCAATAGTCAAATATCTGGTCATTGGTTTCTGGATATTGCATATAATCGGCATATTGTTGCTACTGGTGTTCGGCTCGTTGATGGTATCGGCCGCACAGGTAGACCACGACAATCATCACGAACTGTTCAAAGAGGATGTCTTAGAGCATGGAAAAGATACCTATCGTTTTGGTTAGTATTTTATAATTATTATTAATTTAATTTTAAGTGTTTTTTTGTTTGGTTGGTATTTATTATGTACTAAAATAATTATGAAAATGTTTTATATACGGTATATATGTATATATACTCTAAATTTAGTTTAAAAATTTTTAAAAATTATTAATCAATAATTATTTTTACTGATACGGGTTATTAAATTATTTTACCGTTTATTATTATTATTATTATTAAATTAAAGAATATAAAAATATGATATTTAATTGGATAAAAAATTTTATTTAGCATTTTTAAAAATTTTTTTTAAATGATAATTATAATGATAATTTATTGAAATAATATTTGAGTAATTAAAGTAATCAATACAGTATTAATAAACAAAACAAAAATAATTATTATATTGTTTTAGTTAATAATAATAATAATAATAATACCATATGTAATATATGTAACATATGTAATAATATTTATGATAACAACAAAATATTGTTATAAATATTTCTAATTTTATGTCATAAGTATTATTATTATTAATTTTGTTAGTTTTAAACAATTTGTTTATTAAATTAAACAAATAATATATTAAATATCAATAGATATACTACTAATATATAAACTATTTATATATATATTTATATTGTATATTTTTTAATTCTAATATTATCATATAATAATAATAATTATTATTATTATTTTAGTTGGCTATACCGTTATGGTAGTTGCCATAATATCGTTGCCCATTGCCATACTTGGCATACATGGCGCCTACAAGGAAAGCCTAAAACTCAATACAATTATGTGCGCCATCGGTATTATTGGTCTGGTATTGACACTGTTTAGCGGCCAAATCTATCGTATACTATTGAACGTGTCGTTTACCTGTTTGATTATCTACTATACCTATTTGATTAAGAAATTTCAAGACATGTCCATCAAACAGGTGGACAACAATCCCGAGTTTGGCGGCCAAATGATGGTCACTGGCGGTGTGATTGGCGGCGGCGTCGGCGAGCCTAACGAGAAGACCGGTATTGCTATGTATCCGTATAAACAATAAACAGCCAAACCAACAACAAAAACTAACTAACTGTCCATTTAGTTATCATTAAATGCTAACTAAATGGTTATATAATGTTGTGTTTGTGTTAATTGATTAGTTAACCCAAAAAAATTTTTTTTGCATTAATAGATCTCATAATATATTATTGTTTATTATTATTATTGTTATTATATATTAATAGTTGTTAATTCTAAACCTATAACTACCTATAAATTTCTAATTATCTAGTTAAATTTTAAATATTCAATTTAATATATATATATACAGTAGCTATATATATGATATATGATATATTAATATATGTTAAATTATTAAAACTAAAAATTGATATTGATAATTGACAATCTTACTGTTTGTGCCCATTTTATGTGAATGATAGATAGATAGATAGGAAAAAATAGATAGATTGATAGATAGATAGATAGATAGATAGATAGATAGATAGATAGATAGATAGAGAGAGAGAGAGAGAGAGAGAGAGAGAGAAAGAGAGAGAGATTTAAAATTACTTTAAAATGTTATGATTGAGAACCTGGCTGTTAATTTTGTATGTACAGTATGTACTCTATATTGAGTTATAATTTTGTAATGTGATGCTATGATATGTGATGTAATGATATAAGTGTTATTAAGTCAATAGTTATCGATATATACAGTACTATATTTAATATATGATAATTTTATTACTATTAAACTTTTATCTGAATTTAATAATATAATAAATTTTTTTTTTTTGATTTATAATTAATGGTTCAATATAATTATAAATTTATTTTTCAAAAAAAAAATGAATATTATGTGTGTAATTTATTTGTTATAAAAAAATATACAATATTTTTTTTTTAATATTAAGCTACTTGATATTTGGTAATTGTCAAACAAACAAAACATAATAATAACATTATTTTTTAATATTTTGTAAACTTAATTATTATAAATCTATATAGCCTTGTTAAGTTTTTTAAATATATATATTGAGTTTATTATGTATGTAAATGCTATAAATATACAGTATATTTATTTAATATAATTTGCAGCATATGATATTACAAACTTTATAAATATATACATGTACAATTTAGTAATTAAAAATTATTTAATTATCTGATCACTAATTAAACAATTAATTATAACAATACAATAACAACAATAACAAACATTAAATTTATTAATTAATTAAAATATATTGAAAATAATATTTTATTTTCAACTAATATTTATAGACTAATATTTTTGATTTTAACTAAATTTTTAATATTAAAATATTATATTTTAAAAATATTTTACTTAAACTGATAGTAATCATAATATTATTAAAAATAATAATTTTATAATTACTGGTTGTTATAATAATTTTATAAATTTAATTTATTCAAAGATATAGACACTTAAAAAACAAATTTTATTGTTATTACACTACAGTATTATATTAAATATAATTATAGATTAAAAGATTAAATATTAAACAATAATTATATTATTTAAAATTTATTTAATTACATGATTATTAAATTTTCAATAAATAACAAATGTTTTTTTTCAGTGTTACACATTTATATAATTATTTGATAATTGTATTAATTATTACTAAATAAAATGTTTAATTAATTACATTATAATTTAAACAGTAGCGGATTTTTAAAATATAATTATATTTGTAAAAACATGTTTTCAAAAATATAAAAAATAACATTAACTTTATTTTTTATGTTATTCAAAAATTATAAACACTGTTTTTTTTAATTTAAAATTTATTATATTTTATATGTATGCTAAAAATTTTTGATTAATAAATGATATTATTGTTGTATTATTAAATAATTATTTCTACTGTATATTTTTTCCTTAATATAAAATAAATACATCAATAAATATCAATATATTTTTGTGATATAATTTCAGATACAATTTCAAATTAGTTTAATAATAATAATAATAATATAAAACATTTATTATATAGTTTATTAAATAATAATAATAAAACATTAATGTTTTTTATAATTTATTATTTATTAACAATTTATTAAATAAATATATTAAATATCGATATTAAACTTTCACTTAGCAACTAAAATTGCATAACTTATTAATTGAATTATATGTTATTTGATAATTAATTAAAAACTATGAATATTTTATTAGCAAAAAAGTTATGTCCAAAAAATAATATTTTATTGCATTTTATTTGATATTAAAAAAACAAACAAAAAACTATATTTGGTTAGATTAAGATTTATTTAATTTTCAGCTATTATTTTTTGTTAATAAATTATAAATTAAATACAGTTTTGTTATTATTATTATTATTATTATAACTGTATATATCTGTTATTAATTTATTAAAGGTTATAAAACAAAAATAGCGATCTAAATACTTTTATTAAAAATTATTTGTTTTTTATTATTTATTTAAAAAAAACATAATTAATTTTCTTAAAGTTTATAATTAACACTATCTAAGTATATATAAATTAATACATAAATACTTTTACTTTTTATAATACATTTCTATCTCTCTCTCTCTCTCTCTCTCTATATATATATATATATATATATATATATATATATATATATATATATATATATATATATATTAAATTGCATTATAAATACTAGAATACAATATATTAAACATTTTTTTTAAAATATACAATTTATATTAATAAAACTATTAAAATAAAATAATTGAAAAAACTAATAATAATTTCAATATTAATTGCCTAAAGTCTTAATGCTAAGTATGTCAATAAAAAAACATATATATATATATATTCAAATAATTCAAACAATAAAAAAAACCACACATAAAAAAATATTTGGATAAGTTTCAGGTATTCAACAACAATAAAAAAAATAGCAAACCAAACATTTTTATATCATAATTTGAAACTAATATTAAATAGTTTATACATTATATTTACAACAATAATACAGTATTGTACTATACTATCTGTTAAATGTAAAAGTGGATTATATCCCCTCAATTAGTATTTATTATAATTTTATTTTAATCCCTTTTTTATTATTGGAGATTAAAAGGCATTAATATCTATTGAGGAGGAAAAAAAGGGGGATTGACAGCCTGTCAAAAATGCGCATGATCAATTTTTCATATTTGAATCCCCTTTTTTATTTCAAAAAATTATTAAATCCTTAATTATCTATCAAAAATTATATATGCAAACATAGCATAAAATTTTTAGTTTAATAATAATAACAATAATAATAATAAATAAATAATATATATATATATAAGTTATTGACTGACCCTGATTGAAAAACAATGGTAGCTACCGGTGCTATATCACTGTTCCTGTCGGTGGCACTGTTTATGTTGCAAAACTATATGCGCCACCAATCTATTATTACCGATGATCATCTTATACAGTCGGCATACGATTTTATTGTTGTCGGTTCGGGATCAGCCGGTTCGATAGTGGCCAGCCGTTTGGCCGAATCTGGCCAGGTCCGGGTACTGTTGCTGGAAGCTGGCGAAATTGCCGGCGGCAATACAGACATACCGGGCGCCTATTGGCTGTTTTTCAACTCCCGTATCGACTGGAACTATACGCACGACGAGGGACCAGTAGGTATAGGATTTCGTCACCGGCGGATACCGGAGAAAAAAGGTCGGGTCATCGGCGGCAGCGGTTCGATCAATACATTGATCTACAATCGCGGTCATCGGCGCTGTTTCGACGACTGGGCCCAACTGTTTGGCGCAAACGGCTGGACCTACAAGGAAGTGTTGCCGCTGTTCAAACTATGGGAAAATCAAACCGATCCCCTATTGGTGGCCAACGGCTATCACGGTACTAGTGGACCCATACAGGTTACTACTTGGCAAAAACCGGCACCGATTATGCTATTGCATCAGCAGGCGGTCAACGAAATGGGCTTCAAAACAGTGGACATCAACGGTCCGGAACAGTTTGGTACAATGTTAGGCCAGGCCTATATCGGTACCGACGGTGTTCGCCAGAGTTCGGCCAACGGCTATATCGACCCGAATCCCTATCCACACAATCTACATATACTGGCCAATGCGTACGTCACGCGCATACTGTTTGAGGATAAACGTGCGGTCGGTGTCCAGTATGTGCGGAACGGATTGAAACAAACTGTTTTTGCTAAACGTGAGGTCATTGTTAGCGCCGGTATGTATTTTGTTTTATTTAAAAAAATTATAACTCCTCCTTATATGATATATTATATACTATATATATATAATGTTTATTTATCTAATCTATAGGTGCCATCCAAACGCCAAAATTATTGATGACATCCGGAGTCGGACCGCGCGACCAATTAGCACATTTTGGTATACCATTGGTGATGGACCTGCCAGTGGGTGAAAACTATCAAAATCATCCAGGTGTTACACTGGAACTACTGTTGAATGACAAATACAAGGGCCTGTTCGGTGTCGGCTCTACCGTATCAGTGGAACAACTACAAGAGTACTACACCCATCATACCGGACCACTAACCGAACACTACCGATCACTGACCTATCTGTACACCCGAAACAATCCCGACGGACCTCACTATCCTAACTCTATATTCGAAACCGGTCTCTATCTGTTCCCGCAAAACCTGTCCCAACAGGTCAACCAATTTGAACGCCAACACGACTGGGATCTGTTTCATACACCCTATTTGGGCAAACATTACTTTTTTGTCCACACAATACTGCATCGGCCACGCAGTCGCGGTTATGTACGCTTGCAATCGGCCGATCCGTTTGTCTATCCGGCAGTCAATGCCCGATTTCTGGCCGACCCACTCGACTACGACGATCTATTCGAGTCAATGAAGTATATGTTCTACTTTTTCGAGACCTCATCCATTGCCAAATACATGGAACCGATGCAACCGATACCCGGCTGTCATTTCTGTCCGCACGGCTTCGTACACGAGTGCGACCAATATATCCGCTGCGTTATCGAACAACAGGCCGACTCTGGCTTTCATTCGGTGGGTACCTGTCGTATGGGTTCTGTGGACAGACATGATGTTGTAGTCGATCCGCGGCTACGGGTTAAGGGTATGGATGGTCTGCGTGTATGCGATGCCTCTATTATGCCTCTCATAACCAATGGTAATACCAATGGACCGACACTTATGATTGGCGAAAAGTGTGCTCAAATGGTCAGAGAGGACAACCATCTATAATTTAAGGAACTGTATGTGTGATTTTTGTGTGAATGTGTGTGTGTAGGGGTATACACATAAAATAATATATGATAATTATGTTGTTATTTAGTTAACTATTGAGAAAGTTATGTTTATTTTGTGTTATATTGTTGTTATGTTTGAGTGTGAATTAATTGCATTTAAAACATTTTTTTGTTTTGTTATACATTATTGTTTTGGGTAAACTATTTTTTTGTAGTATTTATTAAATAATAAGATAATTATAACAATTTAATTAAAAATAAGTTATATATATTTTTTATGTGCTAATAACAAAAAATAATTAAATTATTATAAATTGATTAGAAATTATTACAATTATTATCATTTTATTATTGTTGATGAATAATAATAATAATAAAATATGGTATTAAATAAATGTTATAATATGAGATTTACTAAATGATAAACTTTAATTATTTAAATATGTTATTAATTTCAAATAAGTTTTATGCAAATAAATTACAAATAAATATTTTATAACAAATATATAATAATAATCATATATTTATTATTTTTTTGATATACTTTACTGTTATTTATTTTTAAAAAAAAACTATTTAATTTATATAACATTATTTAAATTTGATAAAAAAGATTTATATGTAATAAATAAATATCTGTAAAATTACTTTTTTTATAAACATTAAATTAATAAATATTATGCAATTTATTTAGATAAACTAAATTATAATAATTTTTAAAAAAAATAATAACATAAGTTTATATTTCATAATTTGATCCAAATTAATATAACTCTATTTTTTAATATAATAAATTACTAATAATTAATTTAGGACTTAATCAAAAAATAATTTATCATTAAAAACTATTTTTGTTTAATTAAAATAATTAAATTTATCCTTTAACAAGGGCATAAAATATAACACAAATAGATATATATATATAATATATATATATATATTAGAGATATAATTATCAATTTATAATTAACATAAATTAAATAACATAAATGAATAACATTGTTAATTACAAAATTATTTTTTTTATATCAATATATAATCAATTTATATAGAGTATAAACTTTATAAAGTTATATATAAATTATATGATATAAGTATTTTATATATAAAAGTGCAAAACTCGATAATTATCAATAAATATTTTGTTAAATATAAATAAATTTGGAGTTTTTATTTAATTTGAAAAAAAAATAATAATATAAAATTATTTTTAAAAAATATGGGCATAACCAGTTAAAACAATTATCTTTTTTTAAAAAAATAAAAATAATTTTAATAAAATTTAATATTTAAGAGCAATTAGAGAGAGAGAGAGAGATATTATATTATAGTTAAAAATTATTGCTTAATGTTTTTTGTTGTTGTTGTTTTTGTAATATTTAAATTTTTAAAATGAAAAACAATATCACGATAATATCAGTTTGAAAAAAAATCGTATATTAATAATTTATATTGATATGAAAAAAATATAATAGTTTTATTTTTAAAATAAAAGTTTAAATTTTTGTTTTTTTCTTATAAATATACTATATATGATAATAGTAGTGTATATATTAATATATAGTACTTATATATATAATATATTAATATATTGTAAATACTGTTATATATGCAAATGTCAAACAAAATTAAAAAGTGCTCTGATTTTTATATATTTGCTATAATTTGCTTATAAATTAATAATAATAATAATAAAAAAGTTGTTTTAACCTTAATTTTGATTTTTATTATTATTAATAATTTAGAAATTTATAAGGGAAAGTTGTTTTTTCGTGTAAAAGGATTTCCCTCACATACACACACACACACACACACTCACTCACATACAAAACCAGTGTAACTACCAGTGCTAAACAAACTTATAAAAAAAATTATAATAATTATTATTATAATAAATGTAATAATTATAATATAATTCTAATATAACATTGATATCATATAATAAAACTTATGATTCATAAGATTATAGTTAATAATCTTTGAAATAAATGTGAACATACCTGTGCTAAACCTATACCTGTGCTTATATCTGTATCAATACATACCTACATATCTAATATTTCTAAAAATCTACAAAGGAGGTCTTAATTTTATTTAAAAAAAATAACCAATTTGTATATGTGTGTGTGCAATAATGGCCCCACCATTAGTCGGTATATCCATACAATTGTTATCAATAGCGGCACTTATATTGCAAAACAATATCCAACACGACTCGGTTGAGACATCAGTCCATCAAATACAAGCCGTTTACGACTTTATTGTTGTCGGTTCAGGTTCTTCAGGTGCCATAGTAGCCAATCGGTTGGCCGAAAACCCGCACATCCGTGTCCTGTTGGTCGAAGCTGGCGGCCCGAGTGGTCTCATCAACGACATACCGGCCCAGACAGCTACGGGCGCCCTATTCTATTCGGAACAAGACTGGAACTATACGCTAACACCGCAAAAGTATGGCGTCTCCTATCAGAATCGGGTAATACCCGAAAACAGGGGTCACGTAATTGGCGGCACTTCATCATTCAACTCAATGATCTACAATCGGGGCAATCGTCGTACGTTTGACGTATGGGCTAAAGAGTACGGCGCTATCGGTTGGAGCTATGAGGAGGTGTTACCCTATTTTATGAAATACGAGAAAAACTTGGATCCACTAGTGGCCAGCAATGGATTTCACGGTACCACTGGTCCCATTGAGATAACATCGTGGTCTCATCCGCCGCCGATCATACAGTTGCACCAACAGGCGGCCAACGAGTTGCATATACCCAGTACCGACATTAACGGTGCCCAGCAGTTCGGTACAGCTGTCTGTCAGGCTTTTATCGATGGTAAGGGTCGGCGAAGTAGTGCATCCAATGCCTATATCGACCCGAATCCCTATCCACATAATCTTCATATACTTGCCCGGGCATTGGTTACGAAAATTTTGTTTGAAGATAAGCGAGCCGTTGGCATACAGTTCCTCCGACACGGAACCGAGCATAAAATTTTTGCCAAAAAAGAGATTATCGTCAGCGCCGGTATGTAATTATAATCACCCACTCCACCCCACTCCCCAAATAGTAATATCAGTTATATTGATTGACATATAACTAGGTTGTTATTATTATAGGTACCATCAATACACCGCAATTGTTAATGTTGTCGGGCATCGGACCCGAAAAACATCTACACGACCTCGGCATACCAGTACTCAGCGATTTACCAGTTGGCGACAACTATCAAAATCATTGGGGTGTTAGCATTGATTTTGCCATCAAAGAAAAGTACTATCACTTGCTGAGCACCGGTGGCCAAATGAATGTCCCGCAATTGTATCAGTTTTTGGCCCGAAAAACTGGACCACTAGCCCAACACTATCGTACGGTTGTCTACTATAATACTCACAACAACAAAGATAAGGACTGGCCTAATACTAATTGGGAAACTGGTCTATACCTGTATCCGGCAAACCTGAGCGATGTCAGGGCCTTCCCTCATGAGGTAAGTTATGTGTGTGTATATAGTACCACACATCTAGTTGGATCCATCCCTGAGCTTGCACTGTATCACTGACTACTTGGTTGTCCCCCCTGGTATTAGGACCGACACGCTTGGGACATATTCAGAGCACCACTATTGGGTCGTTACTACTTTTTTGTCCATCCAATTCTACAGAGACCGCGATCAGTCGGCAGTATACGACTGGCCTCGAAAAGTCCGCTATACTATCCGCTTATCGACGGCAACGTATTGGCCGATCCGAAAGATTATGCCGATCTACACGAGTCGATCAAAGCGGCCCTATATTTCTACGAGCGGTCATCGATTGCCGAATATCTGGAACCAATTGAACCGATACCCGGCTGTCAGTTTTGTAAGGACCGACAGTTTGTCAACGAATGCGATGAGTATATCCAGTGTCTGATTGTTCAGACGGCCTACTCGTGCTATCATCCGGCCGGTACTGCCCGTATGGGTGCCCATGAAAGACACGATACTGTAGTTGATCCACGACTTAGGGTCAAAGGTGTCGACGGTTTACGTGTATGCGATGCCTCCGTAATGCCGTTACTGATGAACGGCAATACCAATGCCGCTTCGCTGATGATCGGCGAAAAGTGTGCCGATCTGGTCAAACATGATAACCAATTGGCATAATTGTTGACATAATTTTATTATTAATAAAATAGTTTATTATTATTATTATTATTGTTATAAATGTTAATTTAATAATAGAAATAAATAAATAATATTACAATAAATATTTATTTAATATTTTTTTTGAAAATATAAATAATAATTAAAAGTAATTATGTTAAATGTACTATTAATGTATTATTATTATTATTATTATTATTATTATTATTAGCATTAAAACTATTAAAAACATTACAATGAAAACATAAAACTTATAAATAATTAGATTAAAAAATAATTAAGTATTTTTTAAAAATATAATTGCTATTTAAAAATAGCAAAAATAATTTATAATTTAATTACAGTTACTGGCTTATGATTAATTAATTTTACTAAATAATTTATATATTTTATTATCATTTATTTTTAATATAATAAAATTAGGATAACAAATATTTATTTTATGGTTGTAAAAATTTTAATTAGTTTATTAGAAAATTTTTATTTTATATTATTCAAACAATTCAATAATTATATGTTTAATTGATAATATTATTAATATGATTAATTTAAATATATGTGTATTAAAATAATACTAATTATTAAATATTAAAAAAAACTATACCACTTTATACTATTTTTGTTATGTCTATTGTTATAAATATAAAACTTAATGATAAACTTATATTAAAAGCAAATAATAATTTTATTTAATAATATCATTGATTTATTAATACATGAATGGACTGATGCGGCCGTAAATATAATAAATAAAAATGCAATATTATTCAATAGTATAGCGTAAGTCAGTATAATAAAGGGTACGGCATCCATATCGACAAATATAATGGTATATAAGCCGATAACAGCCGACAAACCATAAGTTAGCCAAAAATATAGGAAAAATTTTGACCAATAAGTAGTATTATAATCATTAATTTCGGCAAACAATTTGTCCAACAATTTCATTGTACCGAATATACGATAAACGCTTTTAACCGATTGTTTATCAGTTATCTGTTGATGTAATTGTTGATAAATTTCCCGATGTTTTAACTTTAAATAGCGACACAGTATATAATAGTAGATAAACTGATAGAAAGTAATGTTAACAATTGAATAGCCCCACAGCGCCCACATAATACCATTGGGTATACCATATAGGAGGGCATAATTAATCGGTAGGTTTACTATGAATGTTGACAAACATATTGCTGAACTAATCGGTGCTATTATATACTTAGTATTATATCGACAACACTCGCTAAGCAATCGCATCCAATTGATAAGCTTATTGATGTCCAGTTGATTGGTTAGACCTAAACTTTTAGGTGTCCGCAACCTACCCGACAACATTTCAAATACCCGCATAAATGTCGGTTCAATACCTGACATATAGTTATAATAATAGGTCAGCTGTGATAGTATTGTCAATAATGTTACCAACAAAAACGGGATATTACTAATGGATTTTATTTGTAAAAAATATCCAAAATCACCCAACAGTGCAAACATATGCCAATTGTCCTCATCATCATCGATAATCAACAAACATATTAGGCGTTCAATTAGATAAACCAAACAAATAATTAATATGACTATCGGTCGGTGAAACCATTGTCTTTTTTTGGCCGACCAATGATGACTGGCTAACAATTGATGGCTACTTAAGCCAATACGGTATAAATGATAGGCCGACCATTTGTAGCAAACATTTGGTGGTAATAATTTTGTAGCCGAAAAATCAGACATTTTTCAAAATACTAATATTGATATATTATTTTTAATAAAATATTTTAATAATCTTTAAATTTATATTTAAACAACAACTTTATTATTACAAAACATGTTTTAATAGTTTTGTTTTTAAATAATGACATAAAATATTCAGTACTAATCATTAAATACAGTATAAATGTATTAATTTTTAAAATATTTAAAATGATTACTCAATATTTTATTATTATCCTGCATTATAAAAATTTTATTTTAATAAATGTCTAAAAAATATCTAATGTTTTTAATATTAAAATTTTGCAGTATATTAAATATATACTTATATTTTAAGAATTAGTTTTAAAAACTTTAACTAACTTTTAAAACATGTATATTAATGGTTATGTTTTTAGTTTTCAAAATATTTATTTTAATACCATTTTCAATATATTTAATGATAATATTATTCTTTAATAGACAATAATTACAGTAAAATACTATTTATTTGTGTGCAATATATCTAAATTAAAATTAGTTTCTAAGGAAATTCATATTTCATTTATATTTAACAATTCAATAATTATGTTTATTTTTTAAAAAAAACATCATAATTAACACATTTATACTTGAATTTATAAATATTATATTAAAACAATAATAACTTAATTATATTGTGAATGATAATTAATTTTATTACAAAAATATTTATTCTTGAATTATTAGTATAGTCTATTTCTATTATATATACTTTAAATAGTTATTAATTAAGTATATATATATATATATAATAATTAATTATTATATTTATAAAAATTAACTTGAATAATATTTATTTTTAAAACAATTATACAGTATACTTTATTTTGTAATGTATAATTTAAATATAAATATAAAATTTTACAACTAATCAAAATACAAATCAATAACAGTTATATATATATTATTAGTTTTCTATATTTTATTTTATCATATATTTAAATTTTAATCGTTGTATATTTTAGTCGTTATAAATTAGTTATAAATATTACAGTATATATACCTATTAAATTTAAATATAACATTTAGTAAACTATTTTAGCATTTTGTTTTGTTGTTTTTTAAATAAAAAATAAATATATTTTAATACATTTAAATTTTAATATTTAAATATACTTTATAAAAAGTAATCAATAAAAAAGTAATAGTAATGTAGTATTTAATTATAATAATAAAATTATTTTTGTTTTTATTAATAGACAGTTTATGTATTACTTTATGTAAGCAATTAATATATTAATAAAATAATGTTTAAATTAGCTTTAATTAGTTTTAAATAAACTAATAATAATAATTATTATTCTTAATATTATTTTTATTTTATTTTTATATTATATTTTGTAATTAATATACAATTTTTATTATTTAGTTATAATAATAACTATCTCATGATTGTATTAAATTGTATAAACATTATAATAAACAATTAAATCATATTTTTAAATAAAATTAAGTAATATGTTAAATATTTCAAGTTTTAAAAAAAATAATAATGTAATTGTTTACTAAATTTAGTTTTACTAATTTAGTTAAACAATTTATATGATTTATTAGGACACAAATTGTATAATATAATAATAATATTATAAATAAAAATGATATACTATTTATTAATATACAGAGTAAGTCATTATAAATCTATTACTAATAAATGTCATGAAAGTTATAATAAAAAACATTAAAAAATAAATAAATAAATATTATTGATTTAAGTTATAATTAGTTAGCAATTTATGTAAATTATTAGCACATGTAGTAACCGATGCGACCGTAAATATAATAAACAAAAATGCTAAACAAAGTAAGACAATACCATAGCTTAGTATGGCTACGGGTATGACTGCCATCTCAACAAACAGTATGGTATATAAACCGATAACTGTTGCCAAACCAAATGTTAGCCAAACGTATAGCAAAAATTTTGACCAATAACTGTGGTTATAGTCTGCAATTTCGGCAAACAATTTATCAAATGATTTCATTAGATTTAGTATTGGTTTTGTGTTTATGTGTTGTTTGCTTGTTGTTGTTAACAATTTTAATTGTCTATAATAATCCATAAATTTTAGTTTCAAATATCGGCACAGTATATAAAAATAGACTAACTGATAGAGTATGACATTCATCATTGAATAGCCCCACAGTGCACCCATCATTGAATTGGGTATACCATACAGTAGGCCATACATGATAGGCATGTTTAACAGATAACCAGATAAAATTATTGATGCACCACTCAACGAGACCAGACATGCATTATTATATCGACAGCTCTCACCTAACCATTGCATCCATTTGATGAGCACATGTATGTCACGGGTATTACTGAGACCAACACTCGCCGGTGTCCGTAAACCTGAAATCATTTCAAATACCCGCATAAATGTCGGTTCAATACCGGACATGTAGTTATAGAAATAGGTTAGTTGCGATAGTACTGCCAATAGTGATAGTAACGATAGAAATATGTCGACAAATGTTTTTATTTGCCAAAAATAGCCGAAATCACCCAACAGTGCAAACAATTGCCAATTGTCCGCACCATCGATGAACAGACAACTTATACGTTCAATTAAATAGACAAAACAAACAATAAATACAACAATCGGTCGGTGAAACCATTGTCTCTTTGGACACCAATCACTGGCCATCAATTGATGTCCACTTAAGCCAATACGGTATAAATGATAGGCCGACCACTTGTAGCAAACATTTGGCGGCAATAACTTTGTAGTGGAAATTACAGACATTTTGTTTTGAAAAATAAAAATGCAATTTATTATTACAATATATTACATAAATATATATTTTTTATAAAATATTAAATCAATAAAACTATTAAAAAATAAGTAATTTTAGTGTTGTTTACTCTAGTATTATATGTTTACTAATAATAGTGTAACTAAATATAATACATTAGTATATTATATTAGATATTACAATGTATTAATAGATAGATAGATAATTTTTTTTGAATATAATTATTATTATACTAATTATAATTATTTATTAATTATCATATAGCGGCTTATTAATTTTTTTCCATAATTATAATAACATTTACGATAATAACAATTTATTTTAGTAATTATGTTTATTATTAGTAGTAGTAAAAATAAATACTAAATTACAAATATATATTAATTGATAATAAAGTTATTTGCTATTACTTCTAATGAGTTTATAATTATTGATAAATTATTATAAATGTATATATATTTATATACTAATAAAAAATTAATTTTTGCATCTAATATTTGCATACAAAT